GACAGTATTGGTCAGCGCCACTCATCCTGTGAGTGGACACACCGCCATAGTGACAGTATTGGGCAGCGCCACTCATCCTGTGAGTGGACACACCGCCATAGTGACAGTATTGGGCAGCGCCACTCATCCTGTGAGTGGACACACCGCCATAGTGACAGTATTGGGCAGCGCCACTCATCCTGTGAGTGGACACACCGCCATAGTGACAGTATTGGGCAGCGCCACTCATCCTGTGAGTGGACACACCGCCATAGTGACAGTATTGGGCAGCGCCACTCATCCTGTGAGTGGACACACCGCCATAGTGACAGTATTGGGCAGCGCCACTCATCCTGTGAGTGGACACACCGCCATAGCAGCATGTACAACACTCCCCAATAGGAAGAAAACCCGCTGGGTTGTTCATCCTGTCACTTGTACCCAGACACAGCTGGGACTTGCTTAACTGTCTCAAGTGAACAGCTCCTCAAACAAGAAGATTAACATTTGTCAACCCTTAAAATCTTACGTTATCTTGCGGGTGCAAAATGGGGGAATCTTTTAAGAACAGTATCAATATTTGACAAATAGTGTTTTCCTAACTCAAACAATGTGGGGTTTATTATTCTACACATATTTCTAATGACTCTTAGATGTTCACATTCTCTCAGGTAGTGGTCAAGGCGGTGTCCGTCACTCTCACCACAGATTCTGCAACTCCTCTGCTCAACTGTTGTTTCCATTCCGAATCTCCATGGATATTTGTATCCAAGACGGATTCTTGTTATTACTGATTCTCTCCCTCGTCGTCCTCCTCTTCGTCCATAAGGATTGGGATTGCCAGCTGCAACCATGTTGTACCATCGTACAGATTCACTGGTTTGTGCTTCTATCCTCCTTTCCTCAGTTACCTTGTCACGGTGATGTTGCCTCTAATTTGTAGAAGCGTCTTGGGTATGAAGTATTCAATATGGTCTCCTTCAGCGCCTTCAGCAGCCAGCACATCTGCTCGTTCATTCCCACATATTCTAACATGGGAGGGGATCCACAGGAATTTGACGACTCTTCCCTGATTGGTTAGTATTCTCACAGCTCTCTTGATCTCAGCGACTATCGCAAGATTTGCTGCCGATTTTTGCTAAGGCTTTGTAGCGCTGCTTGTGAGTCAGTGCAGATCACTGTGCCATTAGTGTTCCGGCTTCTATATGAATTTCCTCAAGATTCTTGTGCCCCATTTCGTGTGCTATCATGTTGGACTTTTTCGTTATCATTTCATTGATGATAATGCTGCATGAATATCCTCCCAGGGAGGTAACCTCTCTACAGGCAGGAGCTCACGGGCTTGCTCGATCTGGTGAAGTTTTTCGAGGTAGCAGACTGTGATGCAACCCGTCCTCTTAAAAATAACGTCACTTTTCGCTGGTATGCGCGCTATGGCCAAATTTGGACGTAATTTGAAATAAAATCGACTCACAAAAGTGACGTACTGTCCCGTGTTCTGTTTGAGTCGTCCGGCTTACTCGGTAAGGTTAGAAGAGGAAACTTTCCATTAACGTTTTTCATAACGTTTTGAAACTTTGAGAATTTCCTGCCCACCTAACCTATCAGAGGACCCTTAACTTACTGTTGTTGAAAAAAAAAATCCCAAATTTATTTTAATTTTTTCATTTTCAAATTACGTCCGTATTTGGCCATACTGGCAAACGGCCATAAGCGACGTTCTTTTTAAGGGGACAGGCTGCTGTGATGCTATTTTTTTGCTTCTCCTGTAGCACAGAACTCAGTTTTTTTCTTGGCAATATTATTGTAATGGGGATCTCTGGCTATCTTAATTGCAAGCTTAGCATTCAATTCCTTAATTCTGCTTTTAACACTGTGGAGGGACAACTCCTCTCGTAGATTAGAGGTTTTGGCAGTTCTTGGGACTCCAAGAATGAGTGTCATGGCTTCATTTTGAATGCTTTCAAGTCTTTTCATATTTCTTTAGGAGTAAGTGCACAAGACCGGTGCACCATAGTCTATGATGGAGCTCACATAGGCTGTACTCACCTAGTTATGCTTGCGGGGGTTGGGCTCTGCTCTCTCGGCCCGCCGCTTAACCGTCAATCAACTTTTTATACACACACACACACACACACACACACACACACACACACACACACACACACACACACACACACACACACACACACACACACACACACACACACACACACACACACACAACATACTGGAATCAGCCCACAACAGCTGTCTAATTCCCAGGTACCTATTTGCTGCTAGGTAACAGGGGCATCAGGGTGAAAGAAACTCTGCCTATTTATTTCCGCCTCCACCGGAGATCGAATACGGAACCTAGGATTACGAGTCCCCAAGCGCTGTCCACTCAGCCACAGGTGTTCTCAGCCGCTCTGAACATCATTTTAAGCACGGCAATAGAGGCCCACATGCCCATTCCAGGTCATAGCTTTCAGTGCCCTGAGTAGACTTCCACGAGTTCCTATGAGTTGAGCTCCTCTTTCTTCCCCTTGTGAGAGCCGACAGTGACGCCAAGGTACCGATAGTGGTCAACCCGTCAAGTGTTTCACCATTAATTTGTGTAGTTCTTCATTACCTTCCCGCTTGTGATGAGAGCAGGCTCTTGTCTTGTTTGTGGAGAGAGTGAAGCTGTTGGGGTGGTACGTAGGGGGGGGGGGGGTGGAGGAAGGGGAAAAGGGGGGCTAGCCAAGTGACACAAGGGGGGGGGGTTGGAGAGTGGGGAGGGCCGCCGCCCCCAGGCCGATCAAAGCTTTATGCGCGCGTGTCGGCCGGAGTGGTGGCAGACGGCCGCTTATAAAGCTTTAGGTGGGTTTTATGCGCCCGTAACCCGCCGTAAGCGCTCGGCCACACCTCCCGGGCACTCGGCTCTCTTGCTCCTCCCTCTGGTGAGGTGGACGGGTCACTGCTGAGGGGCTGTCACTCCTGGTGCTGGTGTGGGGCTGTCACTCCTGGTGCTGGTGTGGGGCTGTCACTCCTGGTGCTGGTGTGGGGCTGTCACTGCTGGTGCTGGTGTGGGGCTGTCACTGCTGGTGCTGGTGTAGGGCGGTCGCTCCTGGTGCTGGTGTAGGGCTGTCACTCCTGGTGCTGGTGTAGGGCTGTCACTCCTGGTGCTGGTGTGGGGCTGTCACTGCTGGTGCTGGTGTGGGGCTGTCACTGCTGGTGCTGGTGTAGGGCGGTCGCTCCTGGTGCTGGTGTAGGGCTGTAACTCCTGGTGCTGGTGTAGGGCTGTCACTCCTGGTGCTGGTGGAGGGCTGTCACTCCTGGTGCTGGTGTGGGGCTGTCACTCCTGGTGCTGGTGTGGGGCTGTCGCTCCTGGTGCTGGTGTGGGGCTGTCACTCCTGGTGCTGGTGGAGGGCTGTCACTCCTGGTGCTGGTGTGGGGCTGTCACTCCTGGTGCTGGTGTGGGGCTGTCACTTCTGGTGCTGGTGTGGGGCTGTCACTCCTGGTGGGTGCAGGGCTGTCACTCCTGGTGCTGGTGTGGGGCTGTCACTCCTGGTGCTGGTGTGGGGCTGTCACTCCTGGTGCTGGTGCAGGGCTGTCACTCCTGGTGCTGGTGCAGGGCTGTCACTCCTGGTGCTGGTGCAGGGCTGTCACTCCTGGTGCTGGTGCGGGGCTGTCACTCCTGGTGCTGGTGTGGGGCTGTCACTCCTGGTGCTGGTGTGGGGCTGTCACTCCTGGTGCTGGTGCAGGGCTGTCACTCCTGGTGCTGGTGTAGGGCTGTCACTCCTGGTGCTGGTGTAGGGCTGTCACTCCTGGTGCTGGTGTGGGGCTGTCACTCCTGGTGCTGGTGTGGGGCTGTCACTCCTGGTGCTGGTGTAGGGCTGTCACTCCTGGTGCTGGTGCTGGTGCAGGGCTGTCACTCCTGGTGCTGGTACAGGGCTGTCACTCTTGGTGCTGGTGTGGGGCTGTCACTCTTGGTGCTGGTGATATCGGTACAAAAAATTAGTTAGGAGTTAGTAACGGTTGATTGACAGTTGAGAAGCGGGCCGAAAGAGTAGAGCTCAACCCCCGCAAGCACAACTAAGTAAATACACACACACACACACACACACACACACACACACACACACACACACACATGAGCCACAGAGACGTTAGAAGGAACTTTTTCAGTGTCAGAGTAGTTAACGGATGGAATGCATTAGGCAGTGATGTGGTGGAGGCTGACTCCATACACAGTTTTAAATGTAGATATGATAGAGCCCAGTAGGCTCAGGAATCTGTATACCAGTTGATTGACAGTTGAGAGGCGGGACCAAAGAGCCAAAGCTCAACCCCCGCAAGCACAAATAGGTGAGTACAAATAGGTGAGTACACACACACACTCACGCACACACACACGCACGCACACACACGCACACACACACACACGCACGCACGCACGCACACACACACACACACACACACACACACACACACACACACACACACACACACACACACACACACACACACACACACACACACCCACACCCACACCCACACCCACAAAAGTGCATGTGTCGCTAATATTGGCCAGGCTGGTGCAGGAAGGAGCGGAGACTGTAAATTGGTTCCTGATATGTGAGCGGCAGTTCGCGGGCTGATGCACAACACATCCGGCCTCCAACTCGGCTTTTGAGGTCAGCGATACAAAGGCCAGGAAGCCGGCTGCGGTTCGTGTCTCCGGCGCCGGCTGTGGTAACCTCCGCTAATGAGGCGGCCGAGCGGCTTGTACCGTACACAACTGGGTCGTTGGGAAGTGATCAACCACTGACTAAATGGTTGTCTAAACGGAGCCGCTGAACTGGAGACTGGTATTCAGTCAGGCTAAACTGACTGTAGACTAAACTGACTTGTTAACCCTGGCGGTGAGTGCCTCGTTAACTTTGGCGGTGGGTGCCTCGTTAACTTTGGCGGTGGGTGCCTCGTTAACCCTGGCAGTGGGTGCCTCGTTAACCCTGGCAGTGGGTGCCTCGTTAACACTGGCGGCGAGTGCCACGTTAAACCCTGGCGGTGAGTGCCTCGTTAACACTGGCGGTGGGTGCCTCGTTAACTCTGGCCGCGATTGCCTCGTTAAATCTGGCAGTGGGTGCCACGTTAACTTTGGCGGTGGGTGCCTCGTTAACTTTGGCGGTGGGTGCCTCGTTAACCCTGGCGGTGGGTGCCTCGTTAACTTTGGCGGTGAGTACCTCGTTAACCCTGGCGGTGGGTGCCTCGTTAACACTGGCGGTGGGTGCCTCGTTAACTTTGGCGGTGGGTGCCTTGTTAACTTTGGCGGTGGGTGCCTCGTTAACTTTGGCGGTGGGTGCCTTGTTAACTTTGGCGGTGGGTGCCTTGTTAACTTTGGCGGTGGGTGCCTCGTTAACTTTGGCGGTGGGTGTCTCGTTAACTTTGGCGGTGGGTGCCTCGTTAACCCTGGCGGTGGGTGCCACGTTAACACTGGCGGTGGGTGCCTCGTTAACTTTGGCGGTCGGTGCCTTGTTAACCCTGGCGGTGGGTGCCTCGTTAACCCTGGCGGTGGGTGCCTCGTTAACCCTGGCGGTGGGTACCTCGTTAACCCTGGCAGTGGGTGCCTCGTTAACCCTGGCGGTGGGTGCCTCGTTAACCCTGGCGGTGGGTGCCTCGTTAACCCTGGCAGTGGGTACCTCGTTAACCCTGGCGGTGGGTACCTCGTTAACCCTGGCAGTGGGTGCCTCGTTAACCCTGGCGGTGGGTGCCTCGTTAACCCTGGCGGTGGGTGCCACGTTAACCCTGGCGGTGGGTGCCTCGTTAACCCTGGCAGTGGGTACCTCGTTAACCCTGGCGGTGGGTGCCTCGTTAACCCTGGCAGTGGGTACCTCGTTAACCCTGGCAGTGGGTACCTCGTTAACCCTGGCGGTGGGTGCCTCGTTAACCCTGGCGGTGGGTGCCTCGTTAACCCTGGCAGTGGGTACCTCGTTAACCCTGGCGGTGGGTACCTCGTTAACCCTGGCAGTGGGTGCCTCGTTAACCCTGGCGGTGGGTGCCACGTTAACCCTGGCGGTGGGTGCCTCGTTAACCCTGGCAGTGGGTACCTCGTTAACCCTGGCGGTGGGTGCCTCGTTAACCCTGGCAGTGGGTACCTCGTTAACCCTGGCAGTGGGTGCCACGTTAACCCTGGCGGTGGGTGCCTCGTTAACCCTGGCAGTGGGTGCCACGTTAACCCTGGCGGTGGGTGCCTCGTTAACCCTGGCAGTGGGTGCCTCGTTAACCCTGGCAGTGGGTACCTCGTTAACCCTGGCAGTGGGTGCCTCGTTAACCCTGGCGGTGGGTGCCTCGTTAACCCTGGCGGTGGGTGCCACGTTAACCCTGGCGGTGGGTGCCTCGTTAACCCTGGCGGTGGGTGCCACGTTAACCCTGGCGGTGGGTGCCACGTTAACCCTGGCGGTGGGTACCTCGTTAACCCTGGCGGTGGGTGCCTCGTTAACCCTGGCGGTGGGTGCCTCGTTAACCCTGGCGGTGGGTACCTCGTTAACCCTGGCGGTGGGTGCCTCGTTAACCCTGGCAGTGGGTACCTCGTTAACCCTGGCGGTGGGTGCCTCGTTAACCCTGGCAGTGGGTGCCACGGCGACAAAGAAGTGTGGACAAAAATAAGGGAGAATCAGCATCAGGTGCCAACTTTTCTTCACAATCTTCACTAACTTTCTACACAATCTTTCTAAACAACCATTCTTCACTATGTTTCTTCCCGACGTTTCTTCCCGACGTTTCTTCGCGACGTTTCTTCACAAGTTGTATAGTTTGATGAGTGTTGTATTCCCATTGCGTCTATACAGCCTTCAGCAGCTGGGCTCCAGGTCAGTTTAGAAGTTGGTGGAGACTTGCTGGTTGGGCTCAGCGAGTTGGGCTCAGCGAGTTGGGCTCAGCGAGTTGGGCTCAGCGAGTGAGTTGATAAGTTGCAATTATCATGCAGATACAAGTTGAAGTGCAGATGTGTTTACATAGTACAAGAGATACGGTTGTGGGGTTACAGTTGCGGGTTCAAGAATATGTAGCTACTCTATATGTAGGTACAGTGACAGCTTTGTGTAGGTACAGTGACAGCTTCATGTAGGTACAGTGACAGCTTCATGTAGGTACAGTGACAGCTTCATGTAAGTACAGTGAGAGCTTCATGTAGGTACAGTGACAGCTTCATGTAGGTACAGTGACAGCTTCATGTAAGTACAGTGACAGCTTCATGTAAGTACAGTGAGAGCTTCATGTAGGTACAGTGGGTAGCAGCCTGGTGGCTGAGTGGACAGCCCTTGGGGCTCGTAATTCTAGGGTCCGAGGATCGATTCCCGGCGATGGTGGAAAGAAATGGGCAGAGTTTCTTTCACCCTTATGTCCCTGTTCACCTAGCAGTAGATAGGTACCTGGGAGTTAGACTTCTTCGTGTTTGTTTCATATACCTCTATCTCCTCCTCCCCCTCCCCCCCCCCCCTCCCCCCCCCCAAGCATAGGGTGTGGGCATTGTTCTCGCTAACTGAGGCTCAGAGGGTTTAAAGCTGCCTCCCCCCTCACCCCCCCCCTCCACTCTTACGGGCTCACCATAGCCCGTGCTACTTGGAACTTTATGTTCTGAGTAGCTGAATGTAAAAACAACAACATCCCCCCCCCCCCGTCTTTCTCTCTCAATCGAGAGAGAGAGAGAGAGAGAAGGGTGCTGGAGAACCCTGTATCACAGGAAACATCATTCACTTCGTGAACATGTCTCTCGGCGGTAATGTTTACTGTGTGAGGCCAACGGTCCTGGTATATTACACCCGCTCATGTTTATTGCTCCATAACAACTTTATATACACTATTACAACAACAACAATTTGAAAATAATAATATTTTCTGAATCAAAGAGTACTTTTAGCTTTTTGTTATTTTTACAACTAGTTATAAACGTGAATATGAAAATATTACGCAATATAAACTTATTTTTAAGAAATTAATTTTTCTTAAAAATATAAGAAAATTTTTAAGAAATCCCCCCCCCCCCCCCGTCTGCAAGACGCCGGCTTACGAAGCCACTGTCAGTAATAGACGCTATTATCTGGGGTCGATTAGAAATAGTTTAAAGTAAACCAATTGCACGAGGCCTTCTGCAACATGTACATCAGAGGAGTAAAACAATTGATTCCTATGGTAAAGGAATGATATTAAAAGGTTGTATAACTGCGGTTGCTGAAAGACTCGAAATCAAGAAAGGTCGCTTGAAATCATAACAGAAAACATCTTGATCAACACTCAGGAAGTTTGGTCACCAAGATAATGAAAGATAAAAACATTAAACGAAACTTTAGAATTGGAGGAAGAAATTTGAGAGAGTTTAAGCTTAAAATGCTGGAGAGTATTTTTGAAGGACTCGAGAGATGTCGGTACAAGAGACTTGGCTCAACCGGTGTTGTAAGTCAGGGAGACTACCACACAGCAGGTGTTGTAAGTCAGGGAGACTACCACACAGCAGGTGTTGTAAGTCAGGGAGACTACCACACAGCAGGTGTTGTAAGTCAAGCAGACTACCACACAGCAGGTGTTGTAAGTCAGGGAGACTACCACACAGCAGGTGTTGTAAGTCAGGGAGACTACCACACAGCAGGTGTTGTAAGTCAGGGAGACTACCACACAGCAGGTGTTGTAAGTCAAGCAGACTACCACACAGCAGGTGTTGTAAGTCAGGGAGACTACCACACAGCAGGTGTTGTAAGTCAAGCAGACTACCACACAGCAGGTGTTGTAAGTCAGGGAGACTACCACACAGCAGGTGTTGTAAGTCAGGGAGACTACCACACAGCAGGTGTTGTAAGTCAGGGAGACTACCACACAGCAGGTGTTGTAAGTCAAGCAGACTACCACACAGCAGGTGTTGTAAGTCAGGGAGACTACCACACAGCAGGTGTTGTAAGTCAGGGAGACTACCACACAGCAGGTGTTGTAAGTCAAGCAGACTACCACACAGCAGGTGTTGTAAGTCAGGGAGACTACCACACAGCAGGTGTTGTAAGTCAGGGAGACTACCACACAGCAGGTGTTGTAAGTCAGGGAGACTACCACACAGCAGGTGTTGTAAGTCAGGGAGACTACCACACAGCAGGTGCTGTAAGTCAGGGAGACTACCACACAGCAGGTGTTGTAAGTCAAGCAGACTACCACACAGCAGGTGTTGTAAGTCAAGCAGACTACCACACAGCAGGTGTTGTAAGTCAGGGAGACTACCACACAGCAGGTGTTGTAAGTCAAGCAGACTACCACACAGCAGGTGTTGTAAGTCAAGCAGACTACCACACAGCAGGTGTTGTAAGTCAAGCAGACTACCACACAGCAGGTGTTGTAAGTCAAGCAGACTACCACACAGCAGGTGTTGTAAGTCAGGGAGACTACCACACAGCAGGTGTTGTAAGTCAAGCAGACTACCACACAGCAGGTGTTGTAAGTCAGGGAGACTACCACACAGCAGGTGTTGTAAGTCAAGCAGACTACCACACAGCAGGTGTTGTAAGTCAGGGAGACTACCACACAGCAGGTGTTGTAAGTCAGGGAGACTACCACACAGCAGGTGTTGTAAGTCAAGCAGACTACCACACAGCAGGTGTTGTAAGTCAGGGAGACTACCACACAGCAGGTGTTGTAAGTCAAGCAGACTACCACACAGCAGGTGTTGTAAGTCAGGGAGACTACCACACAGCAGGTGTTGTAAGTCAAGGAGACTACCACACAGCAGGTGTTGTAAGTCAGGGAGACTACCACACAGCAGGTGTTGTAAGTCAAGGAGACTACCACACAGCAGGTGTTGTAAGTCAGGGAGACTACCACACAGCAGGTGTTGTAAGTCAAGCAGACTACCACACAGCAGGTGTTGTAAGTCAGGGAGACTACCACACAGCAGGTGTTGTAAGTCAAGCAGACTACCACACAGCAGGTGTTGTAAGTCAAGCAGACTACCACACAGCAGGTGTTGTAAGTCAAGCAGACTACCACACAGCAGGTGTTGTAAGTCAAGCAGACTACCACACAGCAGGTGCTGTAAGTCAAGCAGACTACCACACAGCAGGTGTTGTAAGTCAAGCAGACTACCACACAGCAGGTGTTGTAAGTCAAGCAGACTACCACACAACAGGTGCTGTAAGTCAAGCAGACTACCACACAGCAGGTGTTGTAAGTCAAGCAGACTACCACACAGCAGGTGTTGTAAGTCAAGCAGACTACCACACAGCAGGTGCTGTAAGTCAAGCAGACTACCACACAGCAGGTGTTGTAAGTCAAGCAGACTACCACACAACAGGTGTTGTAAGTCAAGCAGACTACCACACAGCAGGTGTTGTAAGTCAAGCAGACTACCACACAACAGGTGTTGTAAGTCAAGCAGACTACCACACAGCAGGTGTTGTAAGTCAAGCAGACTACCACACAACAGGTGTTGTAAGTCAAGTAGACTACCACACAGCAGGTGTTGTATGTCAAGCAGACTACCACACAACAGGTGTTGTAAGTCAGGGAGACTACCACACAGCAGGTGTTGTAAGTCAAGCAGACTACCACACAACAGGTGTTGTAAGTCAAGCAGACTACCACACAGCAGGTGTTGTAAGTCAGGGAGACTACCACACAGCAGGTGTTGTAAGTCAGGGAGACTACCACACAGCAGGTGTTGTAAGTCAGGGAGACTACCACACAGCAGGTGCAGATATTGTAATTAAGTATTCACAAGAGCACAGCCACGGGACCAGGCGAGATATCCCCCGAGATGATGAAGGAATGCAAGGAGCAACTGCCTTGGCTACACTATATGATCACAACACACCACTCCACACAGCACCGCACCACACCACACAACACTACACACCACTCCATGCCACACACACACACACACTACACCACACACACACCACACCACACACACACACACACACACACACACACACACACACACACACACACACACACACACACACACACACACACACACACACACACACACACACCACACCACACATGACAGTGACCAAGGCATGACAATGCCAGCTTGGTAAGGAGTGGCTAACTCGTCAGGCCGTGTACATTCCCCATCATTTACAACATCTCTAAATCGTCGCACTAAAATGCCCGAACCTAACAAACCCGAGGCCCAACGAACAGAAAACTGGATGTCGTCAGTTTAGCGAGCTGCTGTCACTTCCAGTACATCAGTTTTTGGCCTCTTGTTGTTGCAGCCATTCATCTCTTCTAGTCTAATAGCAATGTTTTAAACATTTGATTTATTTTTCCCAGCAGGTCCTCATAAACAATGGTCAAAGACCATTCCATCCACCCGCCAACCCCAGCTGTTTATGAATGACAAACTGTTTACACTCTACTGACAACTGATGACGTTCGAACCACAACGCTGTAAATGCTTCACTCACGGACTACAAATACAAAAATAATCGCCAACAGAACCTAAACACCTAACCTAACCAGGGCCTATATATGTACAAGATGGCAATATAAAATATTAATTTATATTTGAGAAAATTCCTGTTTTGAATAAGCAGAATGTTATAATTGATGAACGCGTCTTTTGGGTCGACCGCTGGATGGAATGGACTTGGTCTGAGGACGGGTTGATTTTTCGATATATATGTACCAAGTAATGTCCAGATATTACCAGTAGGTGGGTACACGTAGGTAGGTACACGTAGGTGGGTACATCTTGGAGCATGTTGAAGTGCATTTAACACCACTTGTACTGAGCACTAACATGCACTTGGAGGAGAGGCATGAGCATTATATATATATAATGTATATATATAATGTATATATATATATATATATATATATATATATATATATGTAATATATATATATATATATATAATATATATATATATATAGATATATATATAAATATGTGACGATAATCTCCTTCAAGAGATTGAGCCTGCTCTTCCCTCCAAAATACGTCGACACATACATCCCTATACAACTAATATGGAAGAAATATCCAACAACGACAACATCTCCAAGGTTTGCCAGAAGCGCAAAACATATGCAGCCAGGAACACCTGCTCCACCTCGAACCACCAAACTACCTGTCTTGTCGCCTGCTCATCGCTGATTGGCTGCGGGTCCAGTTGCAACTGCCCTCCACCCACCACACTACTTGATGTCTGGGGCCACACGACCACCAGATCTCAGAATATCCAGTGCTTTCATCAGGTTAACACGTCTCGTTGGTAGACTAAGCTGTGGCTTACGTGTACTAAGAGAGGTGATAGCCTAAAGCCAATATTCCTGCACCTCTTATTTGATTGTATATTGCTCACTTGTTCTTACTCACTTGTCTTAACGTAACTTTTCATTTTGTCATTGATTATTCTTATTATTTTGATTGATTGATTTATTATACGAATTTGTATGTCCATTTTATTCATGTTTTGCTTTTCTAATGTAATTAAAATTTCATTGTTAAATTTACTTGTTTTGTGTGTCTTCTCATTACCTTACCACAGACGAAGTTCCAGATTTTCTATTTTTGTTTCTATATGTGACGAGGCCATACCCCTAGCTTTTGAACAGCCGAACACCAACGCGTTACCGTCCACAATATATATATAAATATATATATATAATATATATATATATAATAATATATATAATATATATATATATATATATATATATATATATATATATTTATATATATATAAATTATGGCATCACTGTACTGCTTGATCTGCTAGTGTCCCCCTGCACTAGACCACTCAGCACTTGGCACTACTAGTGTATATAGTGGCACTCGAGCTTCCCCTAACCCTAAACTATTGCCAGGACCGGTAACCAAGTTGCAGTAATGTGTATCATGGTCTGGGTTGATCTGCAACCATAAGGTAGATGTGTGTGTTGACTACTCTGGCGCCCTAGACTGGCCTCAAGTGTGGCAGCAGAACCCTAGGGCCACCATAGGGTTCTGCTCCAGCCTGGGTATACCTGGTATATCTTGGCACACAATAAGCTCAAACTAGTCATGGGAACTGAAGGGGTGAGTCTTATGGAATGCCTGAGAAGGGGGAGATGAGAGGCTCCCATTCTGGTAATGGGAGTGGTTGTAGATTAGTGAGCTGGTCGTGTTCCAGGCTGGTGCAGCAGGAGCGGTGATGGGGTAGTGGTGACATGGACGGTACTGGAGGTGGGGCGGGAGAACTATTGATACCCCAGCCTGACCTGGCGGTGACCTGTGGGGGGATAGGGAGGGTATTGGTGAGTTGGTGACCACTTTGGCTGACCTGGGGGTGGTGGTATCTGACCTGGGGATGGTGGTGGCTGACCTGGGGATGGTGGTGGTGGCTGACCTGGGGGTGGTGGTAGCTGACCTGGGGGTGGTGGTGGCTGACCTGGGGGTGGTGGGTGGTGGCTGACCTGGGGATGGTGGTGGCTGACCTGGGGATGGTGGTGGCTGACCTGGGGATGGTGGTGGCTGACCTGGGGATGGTGGTGGCTGACCTGGGGGGGTGGGGTATCTGACCTGGGGATGGTGGTGGCTGACCTGGGGATGGTGGTGGTGGCTGACCTGGGGATGGTGGTGGTGGCTGACCCTGGGGTGGTGGTGGATGACCTGGGATGGTGGTATCTGACCTGGGGATGGTGGTGGGCTGACCTGGGGATGGTGGTGGCTGACCTGGGGATGGTGGTGGTGGCTGACCTGGGGATGGTGGTGGCTGACCTGGGGATGGTGGTGGTGGCTGACCTGGGGATGGTGGTGGCTGACCTGGGGGTCCAAGGGACTAGGCACTAACACTCCCCTGATCTTCCAGACTGTGGTGGCTGCAACATGAAGTTCTCTCACCCGCTCTACTACCGGATGCACTGTTCTGTCTTCCACGACCCTAACTACTCTCTCACCATCCGCAAGTACCACTGCAAGGTAACTACCATACTGCTTGTTAACTACTTTCACTACCAAACCACTACCACCACCGCTGCTGCTCCAAGGTAACTACATCACACACTATTGTTTGGCCTCTTATTGTACTGAATGTTTTCACCCTCACCACAACCTTATTGTTAACTATGTGCACCCATATATATTTATAATATATATAATATATATATATATATATATATTGACCAGACCACACACTAGAAATTGAAGGGACGACGACGTTTCGGTCCGTCCTGGACCATTCTCAAGTCGATGTCTCAAGTCAAGTCCAAGGTAAGCAGCCTCTGGTCGAGTATTTGCTACTACCACCAAGATCGACTTGAGAATGGTCCAGGACGGACCGAAACGTCGTCGTCCCTTCAATTTCTAGTGTGTGGTCTGGTCAACATACTTCAGCCACGTTTTTGTGACTCATCGCCTGCATATACATATACTTATGGATATATATATATAATATATATATATATATATATATATATATATATATATATATAGTATATATATATATATATATAGCTATATATATATAATAGGCAATTGACGATCCAAAACACTGATCATTTATGCGGAAAATTCCACAGAGAAATATGAAATGAGGTGAACGTTTCGGCTTTGTTAAAGCCTTTGTCAACACCAGACTGACTAAGGAGAAGGGAGAAGGGGGGAAGATATATAGGCCGACACCTGACCACCCCATCCCAAGGGTTGGTCAGGTGTAATTAACCAAAACAGGTATAGCTTAGCTTAGAATGGTCAAAGAGGATTAAGCGGTCAGAGAATAAGGATGAAAGATTAAAGAAAAGCCTCATGAACACAACAATATATTGAATATACAATTATAATGAGACATTTGTAAGCCTCTCTATCAGAGTTTCTTAAACAACAGTTTAAGAAACAACTCTGATAGCGAGGCTTACAATGTTCATTATAATTGTATATTCATATATTGTGTGTTCATGAGGCTTTTCTTTAATCTTTCATCCTTATCTCTGACCGCTTAATCCTCTTTGACCATTCTAAGCTAAGCTATACCTGTTTTGGTTAATTACACCTGACCAACCCTTGGGATGGGGTGGTCAGGTGTTCGGCCTATATATCTTCCCCCCTTCTCCCTTCTCCTTAGTCAGTCTGGTGTTGACAAAGGCTTTACAAAGCCGAAACGTTCACCTCATTTCATATTCTCTGTGGATTTTCCGCATATATATATATATATATATATATATATATATATATTATAATATATATATAATATATATATTATATATAATATATAATATAATATATATATATATATATTATATAATATAATATATATATATATTATATATATATATATATATATAATATATATATATATATAAATATTTATATATTAAATTTGTAATAAAATTTTCCTAATTAATATATTTATATAATTTTTTCTTATAAATATAAAAATTTTTCTATTATATATTTTTTTTTTTATTATTAAAATTATAATATATAAATAAATATAATAATAATATATTTATATAAGGTTATTATAAAAAAACTATTATTATATTATAAAAAAAAATTAATTATAAAATTTTATTAAAATTTAATATTCTAAATTTTTATTATAAATTATATATATATTCCCAGCTAACGTGTGCCCACTTGAGCTCTGCCTGTGACAATGCTGGCCAGCTCAGCTAAACGCATCTCAGAGATCATATGTTTACAACTTAGGAATTTGGAGAGTTCTTTGTCAACAACTTTTCAAGGGAACGTATGAAATACGAGGAACATTGGCGCAAGATTCGTTAACTTAACACTATCTGCCATAACATTATCACGGATAATATTTAGAGATAATGAGTAATTTTGATTGTCTTTGGTATTATGTCATATACGACAAGATGTGTAAGATCTTTGTTTTTTACATGTGTGTGTGGTAGCCGTCTCCCTTTTTAATATATATATATATTATAATATATATATTATATATAATATATATAATATATATATATATTTAATTTATTTTCCGCGCTCAGCCCCTCCTCCTCCCCCAGCAGGCGTCAACACCCCCTCCTCCCCCCAGGCGTCAACAACCCCCTCCTCCCCCAGCAGGCGTCAACAACCTCCCTCCTCCCCCAGCAGGCGTCAACAACCCCCCCTCCTCCCCAGCAAGGTCAACAACTCCCTCCTCCCCCAGCAGGCGTCAACACCCTCCTCCTCCTCCCCCAGCAGGCGTCAAACAACCCCCCTCCTACCCAGCAGGCGTCAACAACCCCCCCTCCTACCCCAGCAAGTGTCAACAACCCCCCTCCTCCCCCAGCAGGCGTCAACCTCCCCCACCTCCCCAGCAGGCGCCAACCTCCCCCAGCAGGCGTCAACCTCCCCCAGCAGGTGTCAGCAACCTCCCCCTCCTCCCCCAGCAGGTGGTCAACAACCTCCCCCTCCTCCCCCAGCAGGTGTCAACAACCTCCCCTCCTCCCCCAGCAGTGTCGGCAACCTCCCCCTCCTCCCCCAGCAGGTGTCGGCAACCTCCCCCTCCTCCCCCAGCAGTGTCAACCTCCCCCACCTCCCCCAGCAGGGTGTAAACAACCTCCCCCCACCTCCCCCAGCAGGTGTATACAACCTCCCCCACCTCCCCCAGCAGGTGTAAACAACCTCCCCCCTCCTCCCCCAGCAGGTGTCAACCTCCCCCACCTTCCCCCAGCAGGCGTGAACCTCCCCCACCTTCCCCCAGCAGGCGTCAACCTCCCCCACCTCCCCCAGCAAGCGTCAACCTCCCCCACTTCCCCCAGCAGGCTTCAACAACACCTCCTCCTCCCCCAGCAGGTGTCAACAACCTCCTCCTCCCCCAGCAGGCGTCAACAGCCCCCCTCCTCCCCCCAGCAGGCGTCAACAGCCCCCCAGCATTAGCGACGACCCCCCAGCAGGAGCGACGACCCCTCCCCCAACAGGCGTCAACCCCCCCCCCTACCCTCCCCCCAGCAGGCGTCAACAACCCCCCTCCTCCCCCAGCAGGCGTCAACAACCCCTCCAGCAGGCGTCAACAACCCCCCCCCTCCAGCAGGCGTCAATAACCCCCCCCCCCTCCAGCAGGCGTCAACAACCCCCCCCCCCTCCAGCAGGCGTCAACAACCCCCCTCCAGGAGGCGTCAACAACCCCCCCCCCAGCAGGCGTCAACGGCCCCCCCAGCAGGAGGCGTCAACAGCCCCCCCTCGTCCCCCCAGCAGGCGTCACCCCTCCCCCAGCAGGTGTTAACGCTTGGTCTCCGCAGGTGTTAACGCTTGGTCTCCGCAGGTGTTAACGCATGGTCTCCGCAGGTGTTAACGCATGGTCTCCGCAGGTGTTAACGCATGGTCTCCGCAGGTGTTAACGCTTGGTCTCCGCAGGTGTTAACGCTTGGTCTCCGCAGGTGTTAACGCTTGGTCTCCGCAGGTGTTAACGCTTGGTCTCCGCAGGTGTTAACGCTTGGTCTCCGCAGGTGTTAACGCATGGTCTCCGCAGGTGTTAACGCATGGTCTCCGCAGGTGTTAACGCTTGGTCTCCGCAGTGTTAACGCTTGTCTCCGCAGGTGTTAACGCTTGGTCTCCGCAGGTGTTAACGCTTGGTCTCCGCAGGTGTTAACGCATGGTCTCCGCAGGTGTTAACGCATGGTCTCCGCAGGTGTTTAACGCTTGGTCTCCGCAGGTGTTAACGCATGGTCTCCGCAGGTGTTAACGCTTGGTCTCCGCAGGTGTTAACGCATGGTCTCCGCAGGTGTGCGGGCTGGCGGTGCTGGGCAAGGAGAACATCATGCGCCACGCCGCGGAGCAGCACGAGGGCCGCGGGGCGTACCAGTGCCAGTACTGCAAGAAGGTACGTCCTCCAGGCCTCCTGCCCGCACGTGTCTGCACGCCTCCTCACTCCTCTAGTGCTTCCGCCGCTATACCTGTCACGCCCTCCGCCGCGGGCACGCCCACCGCCCCCCACCACCACGCCCATGCTCACACATCTGCCTCATACGTGCAGCCTTATGCTTTAGTAATACTGAAATGTTATTTGGCAAGATTGCTTGGCTACCACACTAGGGAACCCAGTCACCCCTTAAGTGGTGCACTCTTGTTTGATCACACTCTATATTGTGTTCCGTTCACACCCACTGGTGCACTTACACACACACTGGTGCACTTACACACACACTGGTACACTTACACACACACTGGTACACTTACACACACACTGGTGCACTTACACTCCCACTGGTGCACTTACACACACACTGGTGCACTTACACTCCCACTGGTGCACTTACACTCCCACTGGTACACTTACACACACTGGTACACTTACACTCCCACTGGTACACTTACACACACTGGTACACTTACACACACACTGGTGCACTTACACACACTGGTACACTTACACACCCATTGGTACACACTCCCTGGCACCACTCCACACTCAAGAGACTCTGGCACCACTCCACACTCAAGAGACTCTGGCACCACTCCCACACTCGAGAGACTCTGGCACCACTCCCACACTCAAGAGACTCTGGCACCACTCCCACACTCAAGAGACTCTGGCACCACTCCCACACTCAAGAGACTCTGGCACCACTCCACACTCAAGAGACTCTGGCACCACTCCCACACTCAAGAGACTCTGGCACCACTCCCACACTCAAGAGACTCTGGCACCACTCCCACACTCAAGAGACTCTGGCACCACTCCCACACTCAAGAGACTCTGGCACCACTCCCACACTCGAGGGACTCTGGCACCACTCCCACACTCGAGGGACTCTGGCACCACTCCCACACTCGAGGGACTCTGGCACCACTCCCACACTCGAGGGACTCTGGCACCACTCCCACACTCGAGGGACTCTGGCACCACTCCCACACTCGAGGGACTCTGGCACCACTCCACACTCAAGGGACTCTGGCACCACTCCACACTCGAGGGACTCTGGCACCACTCCCACACTCAAGGGACTCTGGCACCACTCCACACTCAAGAGACTGGCACCACACCACACTCGAGGGACTGGCACCACTACCACACTCAAGAGACTGGCACCACTCCACACTCAAGAGACTGGCACCACACCACACTCGAGAGACTCTCCCACCACACCACACTCGAGGGACTCTCCCACCACACCACACTCAAGAGACTCTCCCACCACACCACACACGAGGGACTCTCCCACCACACCACACTCGAGGGACTCTGGCACCACACCACACTCGAGGGACTCTGGCACCACTCCACACTCGAGGGACTCTGGCACCACTCCACACTCAAGAGACTCTCCCACCACACCACACTCGAGGGACTCTCCCACCACACCACACTCGAGGGACTCTCCCACCACACCACACTCGAGGGACTCTGGCACCACTCCCACACTCGAGGGACTCTCCCACCACACCACACTCAAGAGACTCTCCCACCACACCACACTCGAGGGACTCTCCCACCACACCACACTCAAGAGACTCTCCCACCACACCACACTCGAGGGACTCTGGCACCACTCCCACACACGAGGGACTCTGGCACCACTCCCACACTCGAGGGACTCTCCCACCACACCACACTCAAGGGACTCTGGCACCACTCCCACACACGAGGGACTCTGGCACCACACCACACCTAAACACACCCCAATAAAAACAACTCTACAAGAATATAACAGAAATCAGCATTTAAAGAAACAACAATTATCATCAATGACTGAAAGAGAGGAGGCAAGTTCCTCCCCGTAGAGTAACGCAGACACTGCTGCTGCTGCTGCTGCTGCTGGAGCAGCACTCCGGACCAGTGGCTTCTGCTGCTGGTCTGGCGACCGTGTGAGCACTCTGCTGGGGCAGGCGCTGGGGCAGGCGCTGGGCGTCCCCTATGGCAGGTAGGTCTTATTCCTCCCTCTGGTTGTCGAGGTCACAGGTTGACCATCTGTCACGGCCCGGTTCCAAGCATCGGTTTTAAAGTAATCATTTGTAGTGTTTGAAGGTCACTTTTTGATCACTGGCAAAAGTTTGCAAGATAGACATTTTGAGTAATTTTCCTAGAGACGCAAAGTCTGCCTCGGTCTTATATATTTTAAAATTAAGTTTTATAGCGTAAATTATAACAAGCACCATTAATTATATGCACAGGCACCTAATTATATATATATATATATATATATATATATATATATATATAATATATATATATATATATATAAACACGAATTTTCACAGAACAATAAATAATTTTCATTAGTGTGTTAGAGTAAGCATAGAAAATGTATTATTAGGGAGCACCACAGGTGTTGGGTGGTAGACACGGCCTCCTCCACAGGTGTTGGGTGGTAGACACGGCCTCCTCCACAGGTGTTGGGTGGTAGACACGGCCTCCTCCACAGGTGTTGGGTGGTAGACACGGCCTCCTCCACAGGTGTTGGGTGGTAGACACGGCCTCCTCCACAGGTGTTGGGTGGTAGATACGTCCTCCCCCCACAGGTGTTGGGTGGTAGACACGTCCTCCTCCACAGGTGTTGGGTGGTAGATACGGCCTCCTCCACAGGTGTTGGGTGGTAGACACGGCCTCCTCCACAGGTGTTGGGTGGTAGACACGGCCTCCTCCACAGGTGTTGGGTGGTAGATACGTCCTCCCCCCACAGGTGTTGGGTGGTAGACACGTCCTCCTCCACAGGTGTTGGGTGGTAGACACGTCCTCCTCCACAGGTGTTGGGTGGTAGATACAGCCACCCCCACAGGTGTTGGATGGTAGACACGTCCTCCCCCACAGGTGTTGGGTGGTAGACACGTCCTCCTCCACAGGTGTTGGGTGGTAGACACGTCCTCCTCCACAGGTGTTGGGTGGTAGAACAGCCACCCCCACAGGTGTTGGATGGTAGACACGTCCTCCCCCACAGGTGTTGGGTGGTAGACACGTCCTCCCCCACAGGTGTTGGGTGGTAGACACGTCCTCCCCCACAGGTGTTGGGTGGTAGACACGTCCTCCTCCACAGGTGTTGGGTGGTAGACACAGCCGCCCCCACAGGTGTTGGGTGGTAGACACAGCCGCCCCCACAGGTGTTGGGTGGTATACACAGCCGCCCCCACAGGTGTTGGGTGGTAGACACGTCCTCCTCCACAGGTGTTGGGTGGTAGACACAGCCGCCCCCACAGGTGTTGGGTGGTAGACACAGCCGCCCCCACAGGTGTTGGGTAGTAGACAGATGATCGGCTGTGAGGCCCACGAGCATGTATAGTCAACTGTGCATGATGGTCTAGCTGTTGATGCTTGCATGTTGCATGGCTCCGGTTGCACGCCCACAACCCCCTCCCCCCCCCCCCTCCGCCCGTGACCATCCAACCCCCTCCCCCCCACCCACCGCCCCAACCTCCAGCATCACGCCCACACCACCACCACCACGCCCACGCGCAGAGAGCAACGAGGGATGGGGAAAGGGGGGGAGGGGTAAAGATTTTGTTATCAGTTATTAATATTTTTTTATGGGGGTTGATTTTTTTCGGGGGGGGGGGGGGAGAGGGGGGGGCGGGAGGGGGGGGCGGGAGGAGTTAAGTGTTAGGTCTTCAGGTATTCCCGTTTTCTGTGTTTGCTTCTTTGAGTCCTTTTTTTCCTGGTGTCCGAGAAATAGTTGCCTAGTTAGGAGTCTAAGGTGATTCATTGGTAGTTGATTGACAGACAGCAGTGACAGCTACAGCTGACTCTCTCACATGTAGTTGGTGCACTCATGTACTCGCACACATGTACTCACAGTACCAGGTGACTACATACTCATAGCGTAGAGAGCTGAGTCACACCACGTGGTCATATTATGAGCAACTGAATGACAGTCATGACACACCTGGCTCACACACCTGGCTCACACACCCAGCGATCACACACCTGGCTCACACACCCAGCGATCACACACCTGGCTCACACACCCAGCGATCACACACCTGGCTCACACACCCAGCCATCACACACCTGGCTCACACACCCAGCCATCACACACCTGGCTCACACACCTGGCTGACACACCCAGCCATCACACACCTGGCTCACACACCAAGCCATCACACACCTGGTTGACACACCCAGCCATCACACACCTGGCTGACACTGCTGGCTGACACACACAGCCATCACACACCTGGTTGACACACCCAGCCATCACACACCTGGTTGACACACACAGCCATCACACACCTGGTTGACACACCCAGCCATCACACACCTGGCTGACACTGCTGGCTGACACACACAGCCATCACACACCTGGTTGACACACACAGCCATCGCACACCTGGCTGGCAAAAACATTCATGACACAGCTGGGGTGACAGTCATGACACACAGCTAGTTGACACACATTCATGACACAGCTGGCTGACACACACACAGTCATGGCTCAGCTGACACACACACAGTCATGGCTCAGCTGACACACACACACAGTCATGGCTCAGCTGACACACACACACATCCATGACACAGAAGACTGACACGGCTGACTGACACACAGTCATGACACAGGAGGCTGACACAGAGCCATGCCACACAGTTAACACACACATAGTTGATTGAAAGTTTTCTAAGAAAGTCGAGCGGTAATCTCTGAACCAAAGATGCCAATCATGAACTCTTAAACTGAGCTCTGAGAGCTCTCAGGGCTCCCTCAAAGCGCCCTCAGAGCTCTGGTATGCCAGAGACTGAACTGTCAACTGTGAAATGAGAGGTTGAACTTCACTCCTGAACTGTTCTGAAAAACTGTCAAGCTAACTGCGCAATTTAGAGCTGTCAAGTAGTCTGTCACTTGACGGGTGATGACAGGAGGCGGTGATGTGTCAAGGCTGTACCAACTTAAC